ACTACAATACCGGAATGCTGCACGTGCTACTACCAAGGAGAGTCCGGCAAAACTGTTCAAGGCCAGAAGTCTTCNATTGCAGTACCGTAGAAATTTGCCGGATCTTTCTTTTGTTGACGCTTTGGGATCCAATTTTGGCTACGCGTCGGTCGTTGATCTGTTTGGGAGTTTCGCATCCCACGAGGACGTTGTCCGTTCACATTTTCTTCACAATCAACTTTGACTGCAACTGTGATATTTCTTTGTGTTTTACTGAGCACGATTTTCCGTTCACGTGTATATATAAGCTGGGTCCTGTTCAAACCCACGCAACACGTGTGACACGATTTCGCTTTGCCACTACATTTGTTTGCTTGCATTGTTTAGTTGTCACCTCGGCACGTATTCGGTACTTTCTCGTACCAGGATAAGCCAATGAACATCTGCGACTACCACGAGTGTTTTCGTCTACCTCGGCAACGAAACACTAGGAGATTGCGCGCTATTCGAGGTCCGTAAGACGACGTATCGACAGGTTTTGTACGCCGATTAACTTCAGACCTTTCGTCCCAAACGGATGCCATGAAATTGTACCTCAACTTGTTTTACCAAATCATCTTGGACGCCGCCAATAAGGTGTCTGATAGAAGCGCATGCAATAAACGGCTTATTATCTGTGGAGGTTTCCAGCAGGAGCACCCCGAGCTCATAGGTCAAGATATTCGTCGATAGCCCTAAATCGCTTGAGCTCCTGAGCACAATCTGATTTTCATATCTTCGAACAAAGACCATGAAAACGATCATATGGATATTGGTCCAGTTCGACCGGAATGCAACAGTGTGCCGCTGTCTTGCTCAGGCGAGATGCAAATATGTCAGAGGTGTAGCACGCGACAGTCCTCTTCATGTCAGAAAATTTGACAAACAACCTGGTGGCAAAAAATATACTAGAAGCTTCAAATGCGTACCGCAGTCAATCTCACGCAGGTGCATATTGAGAAGGTACCACAAATCTTCACTCCTCCAAAGGGCAAGAATCTATCCTTCGCCCCACTATTTGCCATTACTCTCGAAGGCAGCTTCACTGGCATAATCACAGATTACCTAACCATAGTAGGGATCCTCAACCGCAAGTTAAAATCACCTATGAAGCAATCCTACGCTCCAGAAAAATAGATCAAAGGCCCAATCAAGGTGCCCACCATTCAAGCACTAGCTGGGATGAAGGGGCTACTAGGTAATCCACCATCCATGGCAATTACTTCAGCTCGTACCCGGGCGCAACCTAGAACAGATTCCTCCAAAAATAAATCTAAGAAACAATCTCCCTGCGCTAAAATTCATACTGTTGGCAAGCGTCGCCAGGTTACTCCCAGAACGAAAGCTAAGACATTACTGTAACCAAAATAAGACGCCAGCCCTATTTTCTGTCTCATGTTGACCGCTGTTGCCCACCAGACAAAGTAAAACCAAAGAAGCAAGCCAATCTTGCCAGTACGCGATATGAATGCCAAACACATGGCACCACGCTCCAAGAAACTCTCACGAGTGTCACAATCCCCTCGGAGCAAAACGGTTGAAACACCCCTACGAGCCCGGCCATTCTACTAGACCTGCTGAAAGACATAGTGAGCAGGTGCTGAATTGCGTATCAACTAATTGCTCCGGTAAAACTAATAAATGTCTTGAACTGCGGCGATTGGCGCACAACAAGGAGCCACAAGTAATAGTCCTAACTGAGACGTAGCTTAATCAAGAGATACAAGATGGCAAAATAATGATAGATGGTTTCAACTTGTTCAGACAGGACTCAAACTGTGACCATGCGGGTGAAGTGGTTCTCTTCCTCAATGATTCATTTCCACCTGCTTTGAGCGATTCCCTTTTTACCATTCAATCGACTGAGACCCTATGGGTCAACATCGTCCTCGTGAGCAGAGAATCACTCCTCCTGGGGGTTGGTTATCGCTTCTCATCAAGCACACAGAAGGAATGTCAATCACTTCTAACTCAGCTTCGTGACCTCCGTCCCACCTGCACTTTCTTACACCTTCTTATCCTGGGCGACTTTAATGCCAAGAGTATCTGCCGGCCCGGATGCCACTCCAGAGATAGACTGTTTGGTGTACCTCTTATAAACCTCTTCAATGAACACTCGTGGTACCGACACGTAAATTCTCCCACGAGATACCGTGTCCGCCAACGTCCCTCTTTGCTTGATCTTGCTACTATCAACGAAAGATGCCAGACAGACATGATTTTGCATCAAAGTCTTGTTGGTAAAAGTGATCACCTCCTGCTATCCTTTACCTATATTATCCGCCGACCAAGGTGCAGGCCCTCTTCCAGAATGCTACTTCCATTCAAAAGGTCCGATTTAGTTCTCTCACGATAATTTCTGGCCAACAGGCTGGGTTCCTGCAATATTGATACTGACCTGAACAACCTAAATGAGTTGCTCGAGAGTCTAATTCATGAAGCGGACCACCTGTTTATTCCTAGAGTTCAATCTGTATCTGACCAAAGGCCTCTCCCACCCCGCTCCATTCGGCATGTAATGGACGAGCGGGCGCGTTCATTCGCTAGACTAAAATGTACTGGGCTCGACACTGATACTGTCGAGTTCAAGCGAATCCGCAACTTATGTAAGCAGAGAGTTAGGGAATTCCAAAATAGACAACAGGAAGCAATTCTTCTTCGTTCCAGAAGTAACTCTTATTACTTATTTAGGTCACTCCGTCGTAAAAGGCAACAAACATCCTCGGCACCAGCCCTTGAGCTACCTGACGGCTCTCCTGTAACCTCCTCTGCTCAGGTAGCCGAAGTCGTACGGTCTCATTATGAATTCGCCTATAACTTTCCTCTTGGATCTTCCCACCCCAATCTTCCCCCTCTTAATACAACGCCCCCATTAGAACATTTTATCATTCTTCCAGGGACGACCGAATCACTCCTCAAATCCCTGAATCCGTTTAGTTTAATGGAATCAGAAGTTTTACACCTTTGAGTGTTAAAAGAAGCCGCCCCGGTCCTTGTCTCGTACTATTCCACCCTCTTCCAAAAGTGGCCAGATGCTGGAATATTCCCTTCATCCTGGAAGACAGGCATCATATCCCCGCAATTTAAAAAGAGGATTGGCGCACTCCAAGTACTTACAGACCCATCAATCTGACTAGCGTGCCCAGCAAGGTCGTCGAGCGGGTTTAAAAAGAGCACTACTGANATACTTATCAGACAATCAACTTCTTTCCCAAACTGAACACGGCTTCCTCCATGGGATATCTTGCATCTCCATTATTCTATCTGTCATGGACAGTCTAACTTAAGCCCATGAAGATGGCTTGATTCCACACTCAATTTCCGTTGACTTTCCAAAAGCCTTCGATCGGGTCCCTCACGCTTTCTTACTCTATAACCTCGAGTCATACGGCCTCACTGGCAGACCCCTGGCCTTACCTCACGACTTTCTCACGAACTGCACCTTCCCGGTCGACGTAAGTTCATCGCTCGCATCTGACTCTTCAATTTCTACCAGAATCCCGCAGAGCTGCGACCTTGGCCCCCTTTGCCTTATATATATTAATAATCTGC